CCACCACCACCCACCCACCACCACCACCACCACCACCACCACCACCACCACAAAGAGCAGAAAACACCACCGCCTCCGCCGCCTCCTACTCCTCCACCGATCACCACCAACAACAACGGCGTAAGGGTCAAATCCCAAACCTGCAGCACCTTTACCGTATACCCTAGCTGTAGATGCTGCGTGCCCGAGCATGCAACCTTAAGGATTGAAGCCCCGATCCAACTGTGTAGCTGAACTCTGCAATCCCCAAAACCCTGCGAAATAAACGACTTAAACCTAGAACGCAAGCCTTCTGCTATGAAGATCCACCTAAAATCGCAGCTCTGGGATCGAGAGCCTGAAGCCAGTAGCCCTCACCCTCCTAGTCCTCCCAGAGCCTCCCAGGCCTCCAAAACCTTCAAAGCCAAGTTCTGAACTCCGTTAGCAATAAAAGAGGGGAGTTCTGCTGGAGAGTGGAATTTGCGCAGGGAGCGCGATCAGGAATCCTATGGCGGTATGATGGGGTCGCAGTTGCCTCTGGCTGCAAGGCACTGCCATGCTTAGCCAAGGTGCTGCATTTGCAGACCGGGGATCTCATGTGGACGGTCTTCAGCTGATCTCGAATCAGCACGAACTCCTCATAGCCGCAGCGAAAACGCAGTGTGCATGAAGCGATGTGCTGGTCCAGGGTCCTGAAACGGCTTAGATGTGGCCAAAATGGATTTCTTTAGTTCCCGGACACGGCGCGCATGGCGCTTTTCAGCCTGGCCAAGAATCATTCGCTCACCCACCCAGAAGATCTCTTTTAAGGCGCTTGCCGCGCCTTTCCGACAATGGGAATGCCATCTCCAACTTTCCACTCCTCCAACTTCACAACACCTGCAAGAATCCAAACAAGATTCACGAAGTACTGCAGTTTGGTGTCTCAGCCTTCCGGATCCTCCTCCAGGAGAATTCTGGCCTCAAGCCACAGCATGCCTACGCATGCTTGGGCTGACCGGGGATCTCACCATCATCGCTGTGTACTGAGCACGTAACAGATCCGTTCGTCTCGTTGGCGAACGCAAATCCATAAGTCTTTGCATTCCAGGATGCAATTTCCTGAGCACCTGGGTTTCTGAGGCACTTCCCTGTCCAGCTGGCACTGACAACTCCCGAAACACCTCTGCATCATGTGCGCGAGCCGAAAGTATCAATGACAAGAGCTCAAATCTCCCTGATGACTATCCGTCATGAGTTGGCTAGGCGGCTCTCTGATGCAGTCTGCTATATAAAATTGGCTACCATGGCGACACAGACAAAGCTCTGCACGTGCGTAAAACGAAATGCTCTGCTTTTGATCTATCAGCTTGTCTCTGGGAATTAAGTCAGAAAAGGTGCCACGATTTGTTGCCTTTCGCAAGAAACTGAGTGCCATGGGCCACACCGCTCTGCAATCTAATTCTGTGAAGCCACTTGCCTGTATGTTGGTATGTTCATGGTCTTAGAAATCAGTGTTCTTTCTAGACGTGGATTTTGGTCTGAGCTGGAAGGGGTGTTTCCGTGAAGTGTAGACCCAAACACCTTCTTACTCTGATCAACACTGCTCCGCCCTGTGTGCCAAAGCTGCGACATGCATGGGTTCATGTAGGGCCCATCAGTTCGAACCCACAATGCACTGAGCCGGCTAAGATCGAAGCGCTGCCCTGAGGGCACGTAGCTTCCACGAGTCCCAGAGCTACACTCAATGCGGCTCCTGTGCACCTTGCAGAAATCGCTGCCAGGATTGCTGACTTCGTAGCGCCACCATGGAACCCTTGCCTGTAAGGTCGGCGATCGTGGCCACCTAGTGGCCAAGCGTCCCGGGAAAGGTCATCAAGCAGAGAATTCAATGTGAACCTGGGAAGCTGTCATATCTGTCATCAGGAATCTGTAGCAAGGCTTGGTCCTATGAGTTACTCAGGACACAACTCACAGTCTGCGACTGGTAGCAGGAATCTCCTGCCGGACCCAAGACATGACGGACATGAGACCATGCTGGGAATGGGCCTCGCTGCTTGTGCCCCCATGGTCCCTCTAGGATCATTTTTCAGCGCAAAGCCGAGCTGATAGGCCACCTTCCACAGCAATCTGATATCTACCCGTGGACACCCATGGATCTTGGAATGAAGTTGTTCTAGCTGCTTTTTCAGCAAAGAACGCTATCCCCGCAGTGATGTTGGTAGAGCAGGCTTGGCAACGCTCATCCACCTGCTGCGCAGTGTACTCCTTTCCACCCCGAAATGCGTAGGCCTCGAAAGTCAAGAGCCATGATGCTGAGCTGAGTCACGTCAAAGGCACAAAAAAGGCCTTTGGCAAGGTAGTGGACGCCAACTCGTGGACGTAGCACCTCACATGCCGGAGATGTCGTATGCCTTTTTGGTCCGTCTGCGCTTCCTGCCCCAAAGACACATATTACAACAACTTGGCAGCCCGGCATTGCACCAAAGGTGATGAAACCCACCAAGGCATTCTGAGGCATCATGGCTAGGGACTGCTGTAGCGAGTCCTGCCGTGTGGTCGTGCAGCAACTGTCATGCTGTTGTGGCAAAACGTCCTTTGCTTGATCAAGCTCTTCTTCGATCAGAGCAGTATCCAAGACTAGCAAGAAGACAGGCCTCACGGGATCCCAACTTTTCCAACACAAAGAGCAAAACTATGAGGGGAGCACGGTTGGCAGGCAACCGACGGGATGATGTACTCGATAGTACAGCACCTTTACGGAAAGCTACCAATCTACCGCATCTGGAGCTCTCACCCGTGAACCATGAGGAACAGGCATCTGCAGGAGCTCTGCCGGTAGATTCGTTTCCGTTATGTGATCTGCATAATGCCTCAACATGTCGAAGTCATCATAGACGCGAGCCACACACAATCTGAAAGCGAATTGCTTAGGCTGCATCTGAGGAAAACGATTTCGAGTGTGGCAAAATGGGCACGTCCAACCTTAAGCGACCGAGGCATCTCACAAAAAAGAATGGTTGACATCAATCAAGACTGCTTCATGTACGCAGGAGCACGGGACACAAGCCTACGGTTCAGCACGGGTGTCTGTGAACTGTTGGGGGATCAGACAACAATTTTGGTCACACTTATAGGTGCTGCACTGTGATGACAGACACCACATGTGGCAGCGCAGGGGCCGGCTTCGACCACTGCACACTGCAACAAAAACACGGATGGTGACCTTGTCAAGCGGACAGCAACCCTCTCACCTTGTTTTTCATTCCGCTGCCAACATTCCTTTCGTTGACAACAAATAACAATCCGTTGTTCACGTTTACGCACATTTTTAGCAGCTCGTTCATCCTGCATCCCTAAGTGGAGCGAGCCACTTGACATTGACGTGAGGATATTTGCCATCAAGGCATGTGTATGGTGGGAACCTGGATGAGCTGGATATTCTCTAAATCCCGCCTTGGCACAACACTTCTTGGCAGGGTCGTTAGTTTCCAACAGTTTAAGTTTTACTCTGCCATGGGCAAAGCCCTTATTCTTCGAATTCACCCCGGCGACCTTGATTAACAGCCCTCACGAAGGCCCCTGCCTCGATGCGGCCGGTCAACTTTAAACTAGTTTACATTGCTTGATGTTCAGAATCTGCTCCGAAAGGCGGCATGCACGCGCTTGGTTCGAATGGAAGTCAAGGCAAAGGTGACGGCAGAGGTGCACTCGCCATTTGCCAGCTCTTCGGTGAGCCGGACGCATTCTTCCAGGTTCATGATCGGGATGCCGATCAGCCCGGCCGCACCCTCGGATATCCTCGGGCTTCAAGCCCTGTCACCGTGGCAACGCGGAATGAAATGTCCGCCGTATATTCATGCTCCGAGCGCTGCAGGCGCCTGGCACAATTGCGCGCGGACTTGCAGACTTTGAGCTCTTTTTATCGTCCAGGGTCTTCACGAAATTGCTGGGCAAGACGGGATCATCATCATCATCATCATCATCAGATTCCCATCTGGTCAGCAAAGGTCTGGCCATGGCACCGGCCACTGCGTCGCCTTGTGTTTGCGTGTTGTCAGGAGCAGTTCTAGCTGCGAATGCGAATCTGCCAGCATTGCCCGTGTGGTTGCCCCGCTGGTTTACATGATGTCAAGCAACACTCCACGGTTGAGCACCTATTTAACAATTTCTGTAAGCCCTCCCGAATGGCATAGAAAGGTGCCGTCTCATTCCACTTATCTCTGAAGTGAATCTCGAATTTGAGATGCAGAAAGTGCTTCTCCATTGCCAGGTACCTGCTGACGCCACGTAGAAAAGCGGGGACTGTCGGTTGTTCTCGACCCATGCCAGGCCAAATTCCTCGCGACCACACATCCTTGCCTGCTGCTCTGCTCCACATCGAGTCCGACCAGAATTTCTTTTTGTTTTGCTAAGCTGAGAGTCCGAGCTGCGCAGAAGAACAATAAATTCTGGTTCAACAGACTCTGGTGCGAAGTAATCTTGGCTCCTTCCGGGACTTGCCCGGCTTCCTCAAAAAGATGGTTGCGATGCAGGGCATGTTCGCTGCATATCTTGAGGCCCAGCATGCTTCGGGTGCGAGATCTTCAGCAGAGAGGTTTGATGCAGCCACCAAGCATGCTGCAGTTTGCCCCATGATCACGCAAAGTAGTGAACACGAGTAGGAAGGCTCGATGCGACCACAAGGCATCAACAATGCAAGGGTAGTGAACACTACCGAGGGAGTAGGAAAGTTTTTTCCTACCACATGCAAGATGTCATTCGTATCAGGGCCCTTTCAGCAAAAGCCCGTCATGCGTAACTTATCAACTATGAGTTTTGTGAAGCCCTGCTCAAAGCATGAACATCGTTTGCACGCGCCTGTGGCTCAGCTTGCTAACCAGTTGTACAGAGCCACCCGCATGGCCTGCTATTCGTTCCTGCAGGGGAGCTACAAGAAACCTAAAATTGTTTGTAGTCATCGGAAAAACAGTCGGAACTTGGAACTCAAATCTAGACTGGCTATCATTAGATTAGGGAATATACGAGAGCCGCTGCAAAGTTGTTGGGGTGCACCCTAGGTGCACCCTTATCATTCCCTTGCTAAGCCTAAGCCTAATTGTGACCGTGGCCCACGCGCTAGCTTCTAGCTTCAAAGCGGTGCCATAACGCTTGAGTTGCGGGCTCTTGGAGTGGAAGTCCACATAACAAAAAGGGTTGAGTACAGCTCCGCAGTCTCGCCCCTACGGCAAAGTCTGAAAGCTCGAATGGCTGTTCGGGACTGACAGAACCAACCAGCCTTGCAAATGACAGGCTCGTACTCCACAAGCTGAAGGCCTTCTGTCTCCTCGCAATTGCAGTGACAGCTTCTGATTGCAGCTGTTTCACCATGTCTTCAGGTTGCCTTGAAAATTTGGCCTCTGTCCTTCAGAGGGGTGTAGAGGCATCCCAGCGGCACGATGACACGAGTGGCATCCAGCCTCGAGCAGACCACTTTGGGGAAATCAGGGGCCGTTTCAACAATCCCTCTAAGGTTCGAGCTTGGTGCTGGGCCATATATTCCATGACATGCGAGTGCCTGTGATCTGCTCCTGAGATCTGACCTCAAGGGCCGGCACGTAAATCTTGTGCATCTGCAGCTAGATCTGGGTCAGCAGCATCCATGGCGGCAATCGCCAGTGCTGCCTACAGCTGCACCACCTTCAGGGAGTCACGAAGCAATAGTGCATGTGTTTTCGTAGCAGCCCATGCTGAGGTCGGTGCTGCTTCTGCCAGGCCCCTACTTCTAAACTCCCTCCTCTTTGAGGTATGTGACTGCGCAACAGAGGTATGACTCTCAGTAATCTGTCTTCAAATGGGAGTTGTGTCGGTCCATGCTAGTCAGAGGCAACGCAGCTTGAACATGTTTTGCTGTGCTGAGGTCAGCTGCTGTTTTGACAGATTTGAACCATGACCGTGGGCTTTGCCAACGCAGCAAAACGATCGCTGGAAGGGTTTTGGTCCCCCTTCCTTGCCAGAACGCCACGTTCACACGCAGAATGTGCCCTGACAGATCACCTGCTCCACCAAGTTGTCATGTATTGCATGCCTAGCTACAAGTTTCCTCGGTTCAAAGACTCTTTGTGGACACAGCTGCCTCTGGTCGCGTATCCCACTCGTGAGTATAGTCCTGCAGGCATCTTGGGGATATGCCAAGCTGCCCACATGGCTGGAGAACAGCTCTTGCCTGGGAATCCAGCGGCGCAAGCTCCACCAGCGGAAGGTACCTTCACAAAGCTCCAGGCAACCATGGGCAAACGCCTTTCTCCAGATGAGTACTGCCAGCAAATGAACATCAATCTGGCATCACAATGACAGACAAAAACACTGCAGCAATCTTTGTGTAGACATGTGTTGTCTCTTTCCTGCAACTGTTGTTTGCGCAGTCCCGATCCCAGAATTGCAACCCCAACTCTTGCATCCAAAGCTCTCAAGCCCTTAACTTCTCAACCGAGAAACCTCCAAGGCTTGAAGTTTAGAACTCAAAAAATCTACAGACCACAGATTCTCTGCAGCCAAACCCTACGACCCTACGCCATGAAACCCTTCATCCCAAAGTGCTAAACGAACAGCAAACAAAGCCCAGGAACTATTTGACGTATTTGATCGCCAACCTCAAGATTGAGTCCCCAAATCCAAAAAAAATCCAAAAAACACCAAAACCACTGCCTCCCCAGACACCTGAGACTCTCGGCACTGAACCCCAATCCTGAGCCCCAAAACTGTAAAAAGAAAAAATTTGCATACAGCTCAAACATCCAAACCCCAAATGCAAAACCTCAAAGCACGTGCATAAACTTGAACCCTCAATCCTCCACCCTCGCCCAAAGCCTGAACCCAAACATAAAAACAAACACATTGGAGAACCCTACGCCCTACAACAACCCTGAAAACCAAGCCTTTAAGCCCAAAGCCCCAAAGCCGACAACAACCTTGAACCTTGCAGCCGTGAAAGCCTGCGTCACCAAAGCTGCAAACCAGAGACCCCTACCCTCCCAAAAAAGGGGCATGGAACCTCATCTGAGCTCTAGTCTACACTGCTTAAAGGGGGGTTAAAGGGGGACCGCCTCCAAGGCCTGAGGCATGGGGCCGTTGCCCTTCCAGCGGCCGCCATTCCGGTGGGGGGGTCCAATCCGCTTGTGGGAGGGGGTTGCCTGGAAGCCTAGCGGGCCTTTTGCCAAAACGGTCCCGCGTCAGTGATTCCATTTTAAGGCATCTGGGGAAGTTGAGAAGAGTACGCCTGGAAGGACCAAACCCCAAAGCCACAATTTCGAAGCCGTGCCTAGAACCCCTCATCCCAAACCCAACCACTCTAAATCCCATCCGCAAAGCCCTAGAGTGCTAAAGCCCAAGAGCCTACGGGCACCAACGCTAAAATCCATATGCTCCTCAAGACTGAACCTGAAACCACGAAACCCAAAACACTTTAACTCCCGGATCCCGCACAGCCAACCCTGAATGTGAATGTCAGAGCACACCGCACGACAGCCTTGCATCTAGCTTAAGCGTCTGCACTCAGCTTACAATCTGAAAGCTATTGACCTCTAAATGTGAACCTTAACCCCTTCAAATCCTTTACCCCAACACTCTAAATCACCTGAGCCTGAAACCCTGAAACTTGCAACGTAAAACGCAACAAACTAGCCCCAAACCTCTTGAGCTCTACACTGGGAAGCTCTCACAACGCAAAGCCAAAAAGTTGCAACTAAGCAGGCTTTCCTCCCTGAGCAGAATACCCATGCGTTGACTCCACCCTCCGGCATGTGTCCGGCAAAAGTCTTGTTCTCTTTACTCCTGCCATGATAGGCCTTTGGATGTCTGGCTTCAGGGTCGGGTCGGCATGTGAAAAGCCTTTCTCAGGCGGCCGGGCAATCCATTATCCTACACAAAACAGTCAAAGGCTGCAGATTGGCACTGCAGATGTACACGGCTCCAGCAAGCAAAAGTTGACAAGGACATGTGTCAAATGAGAGCTCAAGCATGTTGCTGCATTCTGTGTCGTCATTGGATTTGGGTGTGGCCATGATGCCAGAATGCTTGCCTTGCTGTTTAGCCTCATCACTGCAGCCTCGTTTTTGCACGACTGTTGCATCATGTCATCCATGTCCTGGCGGGCGGTGCCTCCCAACCTCGCTCAAAACCAGGAAAGCGTGATGTCTCTGAATCCACTTTTCACCCATCCTGCATTCCTGAAAAGAATTCACCCATGGAGAGAAAAGGTGATCCAAGTAGTCTTCCGCAGAGAAGGTATGAGAATTCTGAATCTGCTGGCCCAAGACCTTCATGGGTGGCGTTCCCAATCCAAATCGTTCCAAGCCCATTCGCCAAGCTGTTGGTCCATAGTTGCGGTGCCATGAGCCATTCGTGAATCGTGGTAGCATGGCAGCGCAGGCAGCTGAGGTTTCTCCCGTTGGAAGCCAACGATTTATCAGAACTGCTGCGTGGCAAGCCGGTTGAAAACTTCAAATATGCGACCAATGCCATTTTCTGCTGTGACGGTTTGAGGCTAAACAGTGAGCTTTTCAAGCCAGAAACAGAACTCATGTCGAGCCTCAAGCAATCGAGCTGTTTGCCCTTGCTTCCGGACGTGGACAAGGACGTAGCACGGACTTGAGGGGCATGATCCCACTCGTCAACATACAGAAGTTATGGGAAACATCCCATGTGCTGCCTTGCTTCAATGTGACCATACAGTAAAAGTTGCTTTGATCAGATGTATGCCGAGTGGTCTACAAGAAATCAAGCGTCAAGCTGTTCAAGCTTTTGAATCTGGGATCAGAAGTATGAAGTAGGGTGTCGGCCGAAGTCAAGTTCCTAAAGCTTGCTTGACGTGTTCAAGAGTCAAGTATTGATCTCAGTGCAGGGCAACCTCCCTGCACGCTAAGGAACCACAGGAGCTTTTCGGTTGTTTCTAGCCCAAATCACTTTACTTGTACATAGCTTCAAAGCACAAAGAAATCAAGTTGTTTGCCGCAGGCTGCACCTCCCCAAATCGATCTTCGACTTTGCGAACAGCTGCTGGACCTTCAAAGCGAGATCAAATTACATTGCACACGCAAGGGAATGCATTTGCCCCCATGCGCCTCTTCGGCATTGCCTTCCTTTATGGCTTCCTCCATTCTCGTTACCTTGCCGCTGAAGACCATTTTACCGCAAGGATCCGGGGAATCTGCGACGGAGACGTGAGGACACTAGATGTCGGATGCATCTACGCTTCCTCACTCAAGCCTTCTTCGCAAAGGAACGGATGATCTGCACCTGGCCGAGACCATTTACCAAGATGCTAGCAGCTGGATGTTAACGTGCCTGTGGCAGGTAGTCTGGGACATCTCCAGCACTGTATCTAAAGGCTCCGCCCTGAGACGCAACTGGCGCAGAACGACCGAGCCACGTGCACCCATGCGCCAAGCACCCGGCCAGCAGATCCGTGGCCGTCTTGAAATCCAACCACCGAGATGTCCTGGCCCGTAGCTTGGACATCTCATGCTTTGTCAATTGGACTCAACGCCGAGCCTCTTTTCCTTCGTCTTGCACTTTGCACCAAAGCCTCACTCAATGCTCAGCAGAAAAACAATGTAATATGGAGAATGGTCAACAGCCCATAGGTCCCAGAACTGACCTTCGTTCAGCAGTACTTGCATGCTGCCTCCTATGGTAAAGCAAATGGATGGTAATTCATGAAGCAGCATGTGCAAGAGCACAAACTGTTTGTAGCGCATTGCTTTCTTGCCTTTTCTCAACAGCAGCCGCGATCACCACCACCACCACCACCAC